TGGCCTAAGGATCCTTTAACCAAATTTTGTAAAAAAAACACACAAAAAACCCACAACCTTTCTGAAGTTTGTGCAAGGTGAGCTAGATTTGTCCAAAAACAATACCTGTATGCCTCCTCATATGGCGTTTCAGGGAGCCTTTTGTTTTAAAGGCAAAAACACAGCCCTCTATACCACAGGGAAAATCCCTCTTGTTGCTGTGAGTCAGAAGATGGCTTTTCAAAATATTTATCTGAAATATTGGGAAAAGAATAAACATGTTATGGATCTTTTTTCATTCAAACAATCTGGTATATATGATATTCAACAGGAAACAATTAAATATTCATTATATATCAGCATCAACATCCAGCCCTTTAATTACAAACAAAATGTGCAAGGGAGATAATGATAATATCATGGCAAAATCCATGTACAATATTTTGTATAAACTGATATGTCAAACCCCTATTCAGCTCAAAGACTGGATTGACTAGGATTAAACATCGCACAATTCCTTTAGTTATTGGTATGTACCTCTTTGAATCTATTCTGACAGATGTGACATTCAAATCGCCGTTCAACATCTGTTGCTATTGTGCTGGATTTCACTTGTTTGTAGTCTGGATCCTCACAGTTATCTTCCCCTGGTTCGTCCCGTTTGACCACACGTCCTATATTAGCTTCAACTTCTTCCCCCTCCCCTTCTTCCTCTCCCACATTGGTCGTGTAGTCTCCAGTGGAGTCGTGCACATACTCTACATGTCTCCTTAAAGTTGCCTCTCTAATCAAACACAAGAATGGTCATCAGTTAACATCAATTATGCTTATTGCGACATCTCATAAAACCATGGTACGACAATACTATGCACTACATTTTGACATATATTTCAGTGAAATTAATACGATAACATATCAAAGTATCTGGCCCTAAATTTGTGCTAAGAACTGTTGGATATATATAGCATCAATACATATATACTGAGCCTCTAAATTTGATACTTTGTTAGATAAAAAAAATCTCAGATATCAAGCTGGACACAGTCCTCTAGCATGAGGAAGCTACACAAGTATGATCAGTAAATCATGAACCTAGCAGTGGATGATGGCTGGTGGGGAGGACTCCCTGTTCATACCTTCAAATTACTATGTATTAAGCTTCCTCCCTTAGGATGTGAAACAACAGTTGTCCACTATTATATAATACTGTACATACTTTTTATGTTCCTATTGCTATCAGAAATAGAAATGTTTACTATACCTGTTAAATTTGATGTCACATTTAGGACAGTAGTATGCTGGCTTGTCTGTTATTACTAATTCCTGGTTAACCTCTTTCACAGAATCCTTCGTCTTTCTCTTCCGACCTACAAATATATACCACAGTGATAGAAAATGACTGGAGTTCAAATACAATTGGCTGATATACTTAAAACATTTGATCACTATTTCAAAATATTTCGCAGCACTGACTTAATGCTTTCTATCGGTCTTTATCTTTCTTGACAGGACTACTTCATTTCATCAGAGTTGCTTGAATTTTTTACTTAGTCTTGCAGGCTGCCTGTACAATTAAAAAGAAGAGTCAAAAACCTTAAGTTACCTCTTTTCTTTTTTCTTGTACCAGTGTTTTCTTTCTCCGACCCTTCCGTTCCAGTCCGATTGTCTTCATTCTCCACAGAGATACCCGTTTGTTTCTGAATCAGTTTTGGGACAATCATTCGCCTATCGTGACCAGAGCGTGAAAATGTAACCTTGAAGTTGTCGTGTTTGACTTTGTGCTGAAGGTATTCCTCCAAGCTTGTAAACATGATACGACATTTTTTACAGAAGTGGATATCTTCATCTCCCTCATTATCAGTATCAAAACCTGTGAAGATATATACATTGTATTCAAATGTTGTGTTATTAGTAGGAATGATTTCAGTAATTTTAATTATCAAATGTGGGTCCTATAGCTAAGGCTTATGGAAATCAACACCGAAACAAAAATAGAAAATGCAATAAAGTTGTCACAGAAGGAGATTAATAGATCTATCTATTATATTAATATATCAGTTTGTGTCAAATTAAGTGCTAAACTATCAACAACTGACTTTGAAATAATCTGCCCTCACTTGATCGCCTTTGAAAGTATACGTAAGACTACTATATTGAAGTATCCTACCTTACACAATTTAAATGGGTCTCAGTGCATGGATTTCTTCCATTGATTTTAAATTGTGACTCTCATTAATACATATATATAAATATATATGCTAACATGTAGCTTTATTATCAGCAATCTGTTTAAATTATCTTATTGTTTCATTTACTGCAGATACTATGCAATGGGGTCTTGACCCTATACAGTGTTTTGAGTGGGCCATTTTCAGCAATTTTAAATTAAAAGGGGCCGTTCTATTTTAAATTAAAAGGATTTTGGAACATGGATGGGTCAATTTCAGTTTCGAGGGTGCCCCATGAACCTCTCCAGGATTACAGTATCCCTGCAATGTATTGTCAATAAGCTTAAATATCGATATCAGATATATTGGCAATGTCTCTCTATGTTGCTACACCAAGAATATTACTGTAAATTATGAAATACCAACACCCAGTATCTATTCATTTACATACAACACGTTACACTAGTCAACAGCCACTGACGGTTGTTGTTACAACTATGAAAATAAGCTTTTCATGGCTGATCTGCAATGTTTACCATAACGAGTAACATAAATGTCATTTTTTCACATCCAATATACGTTTTGCATGTAATGTATGCAGTAAACAAAAACAATACATAGTAAACTTAACGATTTTCGTTTATGAAGACTTTTCGTCTGCTTACCGTCCAATGTAGACGTATTTACGACAGATGTGGTGTCGTTAGATTTTTCAGACATGGCGGATTGCGACTATCGACAAAAGGCCTCACTTTCCATTGACTTCCGGTTTATTTAAGGGTCCGTCTCAAAATATTGTTTTATAAAATTCACTAATTAAAAGGCTATTCCAAAGCATAACTATTATAATATAATCAGAACAATACTCTTATTATTATATACTGGTTTACTTTACTTTTAAGAAATAAGAATACCAGAATAAAATAATACGTTGATGATCGCTGTATAACCATGTGTACTACGTCACCAATTTTCGTGCAGTCTCCAAAAACGTGACGTTCTACACAAACACTCATCAGAAATGACTTCGACACAGGAATTAAAAGACGGTAAATAGCAGATATCTTGGCAATGACAATTCGCATTTGGATGAGGTTAACAGTATAACTTATCAATTTGATTATATCTTTTTTTCCCAATGTAACAGGGTCAGAGCTTCGATGAAAGGTTTTTGTTTACTGAAAATATGAATGGTGGGCATGTTCCCACTTGTCTGTGTTTTTTTGTAAGTCGTTGTTGCATCTTTACTTTGGGACAGTGATTGGTACAAGATACAAGAAACTTTATTTAACATCGCATATATCATACAGAGAAACATTAGCGCTATTTTTGCGACAAACATAATAAAATGCAACCAGAAAACAACAAACAAGCTATACACCAGGGATGGACATCCCTGTATACACTATCACAGAAAGCTAGCACATAATCAGCGAGTAAAACA